AAGGGGGGGGGGGGGGGACAGACAGATTTCAAAAGCATTTTTTTTTTTATTACAAATTGTCCAGACATAGTAAGAAAGTGGGCTGACATTAGTCATTAAAAGGCTGGAAAAATAAAATTATCCTTAATCCTAACTAGAATCATAGAGTTGGAAGGGGCAAGTGAGGCTACTGAATCCACCTCTCTACTCAGTGCTGGAATCCAAGTGAAAGTATCTCTGATAGATCCCTGTCCAGCCTCTGCTTTCACTAAACACATTCACTAAAGGAGAATTCCCTACTCCTTCAGGAACTAGTTCCACTCTTAGAATTTGTGTTCTTGTAACTTAAGACCATTTATTCTGTGCATTCAACTCTACGACGATCAAGAAGGAGTCTTGATCATCACCCCTTAAAAAGTGCTTTCATATATCTTATTCATCCTCTTTTTTCAAGCCTTAATATACTCAATTCTCACTCTCTCCTTTTAACTCTTATTTTACAGTCTCTTGTTTATCCTCATTGCCTTTCTTTGCACAAATGCCAGTTTCTCTGAATCTTTATTCAAGTGTACCCAGAAGTAGACTATTTCAGGTGGGATCTGCTCAGTGCAGGTACACTGGACTACATGGACATGTTCTGTTATCAAGACAGGTATCCCCCCTCCAATCCTGGTGCATTTGATTTCTTTCTTCTAAAAGAAGCAGTTGGTGGTTTCTCCATTCAGTGTCATTCTGTTATCTTCAGTCTATTTCTTTCACTTATCAATATCATCCACATAATTAATTAAAATAATAAAGAATACAGGTCCAGAACTGAACCCTGTGGCTCCTCGTTTTACAGGTTGGTGTGCTGGCTTTCAGCAAATCACCGAATAACCGGGCACTCTGTTGATTCACAAGGCCAGGCCATCAATCTTACTCAGTCTGAGTGAGGGCATAGCGTTCTTCCACTAAGCTGGATTCAAAGAGCAAAACAAAAATGTAATCAAGATGAAGCAGAAGTTCCAGGATTCCAGAAATCTAGTGTAACCCAGTCTGAAGTACACAAGCAAAGGAGTTTTTTCCCAACCCTTTGCTGCAATTGAGTAAAATCTTAAGTACAAACTCAACTTTAGCCAAGGGGAGCCCTTTCAGTATTTATTGCAGTTTGACTATAAAAGCCACCTTCTATTCATGAACAGGGCTGCTTTTGCAAACATTTCCTCCATTCTGTCTTCTATTTCTCTACCAAACCTGGTGAAACTCTAGTTAGCTAAGCAGTCTGGTATCAAATTAAAAATCTGAGGCTTTGGGGGAAGGAACTAGAGTAGTACTACCTGAAGTACTCTTGTAGTAGTGCAGGGCCTCAGCATTTTGCATCAGTGCTGCTAGTAGAACTGGACCAGAATGGATCTTCCTGTTCCTCAACCACGAGAAATCATTGGCTAGGACAACATGCCTGGATCCTTGTTCCAGTTGGATGAAAAACCTTTCATGAGCTCTTATTGAGCACTTTTCAGCTTTGGACCCACCAAATCAATATCCCATCCATCCCACAGTTAACAAGCTAATCAGATTGCTAAGGAGTACTTGGTCAATTGCTTTGCTTAAATCAAGATACATACATATCATGAGACTTGTTCTTAACAAATCCATCCTGGCTTCTCATGATCACTATGTAATTTTCAAGGTACTTATAGATCAATCTTTTGATGATCTATTCTAGAATCTTCCCAGGTGTAGATGTCAGGAGTTTTCTGGATCCTTCTCTCTCCACTTTTTGAAGATACTGGTAATGTTGATCTCCTCCAGCCCTGTTCCTGTCTGTTCTAAACTAGATATTTCCACAGGGAGACTGTTCCACAATCCAGGTGCCACTGCTGAAAATGTCTTACCTCCAATTGCCAGTCATCTAAACTCAGAAGTATGAGTATATAAAACAGTGGCTCTGATGTAGAGCAGGAGTAGACAGAGTGTGAATTAAGATCCCCTGGTAGATCACTTGGTGATTTGCTGTAATTCAGCAAGGATTTGTGTGTCCCAGACATTCAACAATTGCACCTAAAACTTACATTTTGTATTTATACATGTAGATTAGCTGCCTAGAGTCAGTCTGCCTAAATTGAGTGAACAAGTAAATAATAAAATTAAATTATTGAATTCAGCAGCTTATAGTAGGAATCAGGTATGTCCACAGGGTAAAAAAGTCAATATGGCAACCACAATGGTGTAGCTGAAGCATGTGAAAACAGGTGGAGCTTTGATCATACCCTTGTGGTCACCATTTTGACCTTTTTAACCATACCCTGGCAGATACCCCTGGTCCAGATGCATAACCTGAGTCCACACTTGGCTTTTGAATGGGATGCCAGGAACTGACTCCAAAAAAAAATAAATAAATAAAGGGGGGGGGATGAGAGTTGATCCTCATGTAGTGAAAAACTTCTCCTTAACTACTCCCTCTAAACTTTACAGTTTGGCAGAAAATTATGGAGGGAGTCCAGAAGATACTACCAGGGTTTTGGCGAACTACAGTTTGTTCATCCATAGCTTATACTGTTTGCTATTCATTGAGTTGAGAGACAGAGACTTACCCAGAATCATGTGGTAAGCTGCCATGACTAAGAGTAGACTTGAATCTGGGTCTTTCTAGTCTCCAATCTTTAAATCCATACACTGCATCGACTGTCAGGAACATACACATTTGAATTTTAGTCAATGTTCACCCCCTCTGTTGGATAGGAAACCATCCTGAAATCTCGAGGGTCTAGACCAGGTTGGGAAATCAAAAAGCATTATGAAAGAACGCAGTGGCAAACCACTTTTGTATTGTTGCGAAGTTCAGTTTGACTCAAGGGAGTTGACAATTTTCTCAAGGATAGGACATCATAACTGAATCCCTATTATAGCTCTGCCACCCCATTTCTAAACCTAAGATCTTTTTAGTAAATTCAGTATGGGTGTGGTGGCCTTTGGGATTCAAATTCTGATTGTGAAAGAGTGGGGAGTTTGTGGATGAATTCAGTGAGATTTAAACTTTTTTCCGTGGACACACCTTGGTTGATCTCCCTTTGCCCCTTGACTGGCATGTAAAAAGTAAAGTCTCCTTTGAGGGGAGCTTGGTTTGGGGTGATTTTGTGGGTATTCCTATGCAGTTTTCTCATCAAAAGTATGGAACTGGTTTGCCTTTCTTTTTCTTTCGCCTTCCTACTCTGGTCTATAGCCTTGGGATTTCTTCATGATTTAGCCAACCCAATTCCAATCAGGTTGATGTAGCTTAGCTTCTTAAGATCAGCAAAGATAAGCTTGATGCTGCCACCCAGCTGGGTGACCAAGATAGGTAGCTTGTCAGTCAGGATAAATATATATTATTCATATGGCACAAGACCTTTACCACAACTCTGATTGATAAGCCAGTGTGGTTACAGATAGTCCCCAGTTTAAGGACGAGTTCCATTCCCAGGGTCTGTCCTTAAGTCGAATTTGTAAGTAAGCCAGAACAGTATTATTATATAATACTGTATAAGTAGTATTGTGTGATGAACCTG